TTCTGTAGGCTCTCTCTCCATGCTCTGAATTGTTTCATTTTCTGTGCAGAAGATCTTTAATTTGATGACATCTCACATATTGATGCTTGGGTTTATTTCTTGAGCTTTAGGTGTTTTGTAAGGAAGTCAGCACTAATATTTTGAATTGCTGAGCTTATCTTTCTTAGAGCAGTTGTGGTCTTTCTGGTCTAATTCTTAGGTCTTTGATCACCTTGAATAGATTTTTGTGCAGGGTGAGAGATAGCAATCTARTTCCATTCTTCTACATATGGATGACCAATTTTCCCAGCATCATTTGTTTAAAAGGCTGTTTTTTCTCCAAAGGATGTTTTTGGCACTTTTTTCTAGTATCAAATGAATCATCCAGGTGGATTTGTCTCTGTGTCTTCTATTCTATTCCCATGGTCTTTATGTCTATTTTGATGCCAATACCATAGCTCTGAGTATAATGTGAGATCAGGTTATGTGATATCTCTAAATGTTGCTCTTCTTGCTCAGGATTGCTTTGACTATTCTGGATCTTCTATTCTTATATATGAATTTTAGGACTTTTTGTCCAGTTCTGTGAAGAATTTCAATGGTATTTTGATGGGAGTTGTATTGTATCACTTTTGATCATATAGCCATTTGACAATATCCATTCTGCCTACTCAAGAACATGGAAGGTCTTTCTATCTTTTTAAGTCTTTTTAAATTTCTTTCTTCAGTTTTCTATAATTCTTATTGTAGAGTTATTTCACCTCCTTGGTTAGATCTATTCCTAAGTTTTTTTTTTTCAGCTATTGTAAATGGAATTGCTTTCCCGATTTCTTTCAGCTGATTCACTATTGGCATATAATAAACTACTGATTTTTTTTGTATGTTGATCTTGCATCCTGATACTTTGCTGAATTTATCAGTTCTCTAGAAGAGTCTAAGTTTTAAGTCTTCTGGTGGAGTTTTTTTTTTTTTTGGTCTTCTAAATAGAAAATCATGTCATCAGTGAACAGATAATTTGACTTGTTCTTTTCCTCTTCATATCCCTTTGATTTTCTTCTCTTGCCTGCTTGCTTTGGCTAGAGTTTTAAGGAAAATGTTCAATAGGAGTGGTGAGAATGAGTGTCGTCATCCTGAGTTTAGAAGAAAGTACCTTCTATCGATAGCTTCTTCACTGTTTTAATATGAATGATTGCTGGATTTTCTTGAAATTCTTTTCTGCATTGATTGAGATGATAATGTGGTTTTGGGTCTTAATTCTATTTATGTGATTAACTGTATTTATTAATTTATATATRTTGACTAATCTTTCATCCTGGGGAACTCTGTTTTTATTTAGTCTTTTTGCTTCATGGAGAAAACTCTCGCCTGCATTAGCATTTCTGGCAAGAACAGCTCATGTAATGATCTTAAAGGTCACATGCCCTTCAACTACCCTTCCCAGCATCAGTCCACAGCAGGGAAAGCAAAGGCAGTGGGCAGACAGATCTGGATGTGAAACGTAAGGTTCCCACTTACCCTCTTGGGAACCCTTGGGAAAGTTTCTTAACCTCTCTATGGTTATCTACCAAATGTATAGAATGCTAATTTCCATACCTGCTCTGTTAGATTCTCCAGAGAAATAAAAGCGATATGATATATGTATCCATATTATCTATAGTTAATATTATATACATCATATATATTATTGGTCATAATGTGCCTTATAAATATATATTATATATCACATACTATGTTTATATCATATCTTATTGGTCATAATATGTTATTGAATTATATTCTCTTTATGTTACATATTATATACGGTTATATTATATAATATATCCTATTGAATCTGTGTTGGGGAAACCTTTAGCTAATACAGTACACTGAATGTGTGTATAAATAAATAAATAAATGTAGGGAGAGAGGGAGATTGATTTTGTGGAAATGACTTATAGGACTGTGGGAAGTGCAAGTCTAGAATCTGTAGAGCAAGCTGATAGTGTAAAACTCAGATGAGAGAGATGCCACTGTCTTGAGTCTCTTGGCTAGAGACTCAGGCAGAATGTCTACACTGCAGTCTGAAGGGAGCATTCCTTCTCCTGGAGGTACCTCTGTCTTTGCTCTAAGGCCTTCAACTGACTGGATGAGACCTACACCTACTATGGAGGTTAACCTGCTTTCCTAACATCAAGGAGTGTGAACATTAATTACGTCTACAAAATGCCTTCTCAACAACATCTTAACCGGTGTTTGACAAGCAACGGGGCCCATGGCCTTGCCTCACTAGCACAGAACATTCATCGTCATGCCCAGGGGGTGTCGGGGGTTCAGTACAACAATGCAGTGTGTAATGGCCAGAGCAGTCCCAGACATTTTCTCCCACTGTTTGCTAATTACCACGGTGACAGTTTTTTACATTTTCTTCTCCGCATTTTTGATACTTGGCTTTTCCTGCCATACCTCACCTTTCTCAAGAAGAGACAACGATACCACAATTCTCATCAATGCAGAGGAAAAAACTCACCTAAACTACTGAAAATTCTGACTTAGTAAATGCTGCTTGAAAAAATGTTTCAGTTCTTAGATATATTTGACACTTGAAATCATATACTTAGCCAATTCTCTGTCTGCCGACATCTGTTCCTGGAGAGTAGAATAATACTTCATTAAAAAGAAATTTGGGTCCCTAGAAAATACTGTGTAACTATCAGGCGATCAATAGTTGCAAAGATTGATTAAATTTGTGTATGGATGAATGAGCTTGAGCAACTGTAAAATATTTGAATTTGCTAGAACAACAGAACAATACTTCTCATGAAGGTCTGTGGAGGACCTGCATCAGTCAAAAGAGTGATGCTTCATTCAGCAGATGGTGCATCTCCTACCAGCACTGGCACACATGGGGGGTGGTTTGTTTATGCCCTCCCCCAACCTGACACGTGGGCACATCCCTGATGTGATGAGATTAGCGGGTGGGGCCTTTGGTAAATGATGTGGTCATGAGGATGGGCCTCCCATGAATGGGATTAGTATCCTTACAGCAGAAGGAGGAGACCGGGGTCTGTCTCTCCACCATGAGAAGAAGTGAGGAGAAGGCGGTCATCAGCAAACCAGGAAGAGGACCCTCACCAGATAGAGTTAACCAGGAAGAGGGCCCTAACCAGACAGATTCARCCAGTGCCTTAATCTTGGACTTCTGGGTCTTCAGAACTATGAGAAAGAAACGTTAGCTATTTAAGCCACACAGTGTATGGTATTTTGTTATCACAGCAGGAACTGACAAAGACATTGGGTGACTGGGAGCCGGCTGCAGTTCTTAGCACCTCCTACCACCATGGGCCATACGGGAAGCACCCTTCTCCTTTGGCACATGTCTTGTTTCCCTACTGGACAGCAAGCCCCCTGAAGGCAGGCAGCCCCCAGCTTAAAGCATTGTGTCCCTGGCTCAGTTCTTGCAGGTAGTATGCTCTCAAAAAAAAAAAAAAAAAAGAAAAGAAAAAGAAAAAGAGAAAGAGAAAGAAAGAAAGAAAAGAAAAAAAGCTGGTTGAATTTTAAAAGTTGAGTTACTCTCTATGGATTCTTTTCACACTTTGATTTACTTTCCCAACCTTTTTGGCATCTTGTTGAGGGATAAAGTATGCAGAGTTTGGAAGCTGAGAGGCATACTTTCTGCACAAATCTACATATGAACCAGAATTTCTTCATACATATAAAATGATCACACATAGCATCCCACCACCCTTGAAAGATGCTAAGGAACTAACTCTGATTTGAAAAAGGTAAATAAGGGGAGAGAGGTAGGCATACATTCTCCCTTTCCTATAACATCAACACTGGGTAATCAGACGGTAGATGTTTCCCTGTACAGACAGCCCCACGAATCAATAAAGAAGATATAGTTGAACTAGAATTTCATCAACTTTTCCATCCTTAAAACGGTAAAGGTCTAAGCATTGAGCAGAAATGGCTACTGACGGCATAGACACTGTGTCCCTTTTGATGAAGACTTTGACACCACCCTTGAAAAAGTTGTCCCCCCAAAACCCAAAACTAAAAATGATGAAGCTTTAAAATCAACCATCCTTCGGCAGGAAATGTGGACTTCACCACAGGAATGCAACCCGCAAAACTCCAGCTGAGGAAGCCACAAGACCGAGCACAAGACAGACGATCCAGTTTCCATCAGAAACAAACGTCAAAGGCTGGGGACCGGGTGGAGGTWGGTGGAGGAACCAATGCACTAAAGACACCAGCCAACCACAGGAAGTGCTGTGTGTTGGTCTGGAGGGTGCACAGTGGAGAGGGAAGTACAGGTAAGGTACAGAAGTAACTACCATGGAAATAAAGACAGAGGGAGTTCCCAGGGTGGGGCTTTCCAAGGAGACCTGAAGCCTGCCATATGGCTAGCTAGGTTTTGTCTCTTTTCATGTTTGATTCTTGAAAGGGTCTTTTCCCTATAATAATTTATTAATTCACACTTTGTTTAACTTTGTTTTCTGTATTTTTACAATAAAAGCTTTTAAAAATGGCTGTCCTACCTGTTTTAGAGTGACCGGAGCCTACCTACACACATCATCTCACAGGTGCAGGGCCTCATCTGTCTTCTTTGTTGTCAACACCAGCAAGCCTGGCTTTCAGCACATGTATTTACTAAGTGGATGAATAAATGAGACTGTGGAATCAAACACACAGTGGATTTTGACAAAGGCTTCAGCAACGTCTCAGATTCCCAAGGCATGCACTCCAACCTTGGCTGGGTGGTGAGGACATCTGCAGTGTCACATGGGACATTCAGCCCTTAAACCCAGTAGAACCAAGATACGGTGACATTCCCTTGTTGCAGGTCCAGGTCACCTTGGTGGGCAACAGGAACGTCCCTAACCCACTTAGAGGACAGAAAGGTTCCGTGTGGAAAGAAGGACCAACTGGCACAACGTGACACTGAATGTGCAAACTGCATTTCTTTACTTCCCAGCTGGAATTGATGACATTAACTTATTTTCAGTGGCCAATTAAAGCAGGTCAGTAAGGCACAGGTTCCCACCAGCTGGCACACCCAGGAATCCACCCTTCTACAAGCCCCACACAGGATTCTCCAGTGAAAATTAATGCTTGAGAACCAGGGCCTGAGGGAGTGACAGGGCCATTCACTCCAGCGCTCTGTTCCCTCTCACCCACCCTCGTCCTTTCCTTTTCAACCTCCAGTGTTCGCAAAGGAAAAGCAAATTCATATGTTTCTCATAAGCATGTTACCATTGTGAGGGGAAACTGAGGGTTTAAACAGAAGTCCCATAGCCAAATTTGTTTCTCCCCCCCTCCATCATCCAGCTGCTTACTCCCTTGCAAATATAACAGTCAATTCCAAGCAGACTGCAAGTTGGACAATTTCCGGATATTCAGATGGAAGAGATTCATCAGAGGCATTCCTAAATGGTTGTCAAATTCTGGCAAACCTAGATTGGAGAAAGGAGAAAGGAAATGCATAATTCATCTACATGCATAGGAAATGCGATGTCTAATCACACACATGCAAAACTAGTTGGAATAGTCACAACTAGGAAGACTGGATGGAGCCTCAAAGTAACTTTCTGTTTTTGTTTTCTCCCAAGTTCTCAATGTTCTGTCCTCTGAAAGACCAGGGAGGTTGTCACCCCTAAACCCAGCTTGTTACTTAGTTAATAAACCCTTTCCTGTTTTCTCGTCCACTCCCAATAGAACAGCTTAGAGGATACCTGTGGGTTTCCCCTGCATTTTCAATCCCTAAAGTTGATTCATTCACCCACCAAGTATTTGGATATAACTTACTCTAACAGTGGATGGAACAAATGGGGCTCAATTTGTTACTAGGAGGCGGTAAACATGTAACACGTGCACCCCGACGCTAACACGTTGTTGGCGACAGGGGATACCTATTCTTTATTTTCAAGGGATGCTCCTGACATTGGTGAACAAGATAAATAGCCCCACGAAGGCAGGCTTTGAACTGAAAGAAGAAGGCAGTTGGAATAGAATTTCCCTATGGAAGGAAAGGGATATGACTCCAGGAGGACAAAACATTGAAGAAGAGGCAGCTGTTCTCATCTGAGCTCCCGGAGAGCAGGAAGGGTGTGGAGGGCTGCTGGGCTCCTGTTCACTGAACCCCACTCGGTGCTCACCGGCCACTTCCTTAGAGTCTCCTCCGTGGTGCCAGAGGAGGCTTGAGTCCTCCTTGACTCTCGATATGAATAATCATGTATTTGCCTAGTTAGCTCTGGATGTGTTTATGTAAGAGAAAGAGGCTGGCAAAATCTTTAATACGCAGGCACAGAGCTCTTGCTATAAAGGAAGTACTTCAAGAAATGATGCTGTGCATACCTTCAATTTGATGAATATTTATGGAGTGCCTATGAGTTTCCAGGCATGAGGGTGAATACAAAAATGGGAGTCAACAGTCCTTTTCCACAGATATCAAATGCAAGAGTGTGTGTATACGAGGCCAGGTGGGTGGGAAACCGGAAAATATGGAGAGGGGATGAAAGAAGTCAAATGATGTACATAAATAATCAAAGAAGAAATCCTATTCTAAAAGTGAGGCTGGTAGATGAGAATGCTTATGTAGGAAACAAATGTGGTCCTGAGTTGCTGTTTCAGTAGAGAACAGCAAGGAGCTCAAAGCAGCAGAAGGTACTGAGTAACCTGTAGAGAACCATGCCTTCTCCTCCAGGAAGCCCTCCCAGCCTGCAGTCCCTGCCCCTGTTAGTGTAGAGAATTCTCCCTCCTGCTGTTCCCTTGGCCTCTGTGCTAGCTCCACACTTGCATTTACCATTAGAATTCAACTCTATCTTGCCCTTTACATGTGTGTTACTCTCATCAGACTCTGAACTCTTAAGCCTGGCCAATATCTTGGTTTTGCAACCTTGTTATCCATAGTAGAGACTCCATGAATGCCTGCTAAGCTGAACTGGGCATCCCAGGTAGCATAGAACAGAGCCTAATTCTCAGTGAAGATCTGGCAGGTTAAGAACTGCTACTTCAGAAATCAAGGGGGTAAAGCATTTTAGGAACTGTCTTCCCCAAATTCTCATAATTAATGATCAAAGAATTTCCTGGAGAGTCTGTTAAAAATGAAGACCACTCCTTCACCCCCAAACTTTGATTCAGAAGGTCTGGAATCAGGATTCAGACCCTGTGATTTAGATCAACTCTCCTGCTGGTTCTAGAACAAACAGTCCCATGTGTACTTTGAGAGACTCTGCCCTCACCCAGAGCTTCCCTACAGAATGATAACTGTCTTTCTAATGACTTGTACAAGCCAATCTTAAGAGCTAGAGAGAAGGAATTTACACAGGTCTCACTGTTTGACAAACTATGATAATGTTTTCTCTTCTGGAAGTTGGGTTTTAATATGAATCTTGAATGACAATCCTTTGACTAGACATTTCTGGTAGTCTAGTCCTGATTCATGGTCACTTCAGTATACAGAGACCTGCAGTGAATGTCAGGGTCAGGCATACCTAGAGCTTGTGCATAGATCTAGAAAGAAACCTGCAGTCTGAGGAAGGAACGTGGGTATCTTAGAAGAGTTTTAAACAAAGGTCATTAATTTGCCATGGTTTTAGAATAAGGATTTTTGTTGTTGTTGATTCCCAGACTCAGTTTTCTAACTATCAGGTTAAACAAAACTTAGTTCTATCAGTGACTGCCCCCAAAAAGCCCGAATGGCCTAGAAATTATTGGAAGTGTCACTCAAAGGGTCAGTAAGTCAATATTGCTTGGAGTGGTAAACAAAATAAATCTTCATTCAATCCCATTGTGATTTCATATTTAATACAAAGATTTCAAAAACAGGGAAACGCAGTGTCCAGAGCAAAGACCAATCAACTAATTTGAATTACAGACCTCCACCTCCAAGCTGTGGGAGAAAGTAATTGACATGGGCCATCTTGCAGTGGGATGGCTTGGTGTGGACTATCTGGAGTCCTGTGAGCATCTCATCCTTTGAAATATGCTGCACCAGAGCAGCCAGCACACAGGGGTATCATTAGTGGGTAAGAGATGGCAGAGGAATTGCAGTTCATAACATAACGTCTAGTGGGCAGTTTGCCAGCCGTTTGGAATAACATAAGATAAAGGTCTCTTAAAGTGAGTATTTATAAAGTGCAGGGCTATGAGTCTTTAAAAGCCCCTTTCAAAATAATTGGAAAGGCCACTTACTTTCATATTATTTCCTAAGTCCTTCTGCCTTAAAAATTAATTCAATTTTGATGGAAGAATTTGGGAGGCGGGATGATACTATCAGATTGACTGAAAGTATTGTTCAGGAAGAACAATCAGGATCTTTTCTATATGTAGTCATTGCCAACTATTACTCAGCAGAAATCGTTCTCAGATATCAGGTGCCAGCCTGGCATCTCTGTTCAGAGGAAGAGAACAGCGCAGGCAACACTCACCAGGCATGGGCGGTGGCTTTGAAATAGCTGGCGAGGCTGAGGAACAATGACTGGACAACATCTGGGGCGGAAGGGAGAAACATCGTTAAAAAATTTAAATGACCAAAATTCAAATGAAATCAGAGCAGCAGTTTGCAAAACTGTTACTTACAAGCAATTGTTATCACCAGCGTGCACGTGAAGACACTGGATAATACTCCTCCAATCCACCATCTGAAACAACAGGATCGCTGCCACTTAGCATGTAATTATGCATTTCCAACATTCGTGATGGCCTTTTAGACTTAAATAGACTTATAATTTCCAGATTTACTATAAAACTACAGTAATACAGATACAGTATTGGAAAAAGAATAGACAAATAGATCGATGAAAGAGAATTGAGAGCCCAGACATAGGCCCATGTGGATGCAGTAAAATTTACTTCTTCTTCTTTTCTTTTTGTTTTTGTACTGAGGATCGAAACCTAGTGGTGTTAACCACTGAGCAATATCCCCAGCCCTTTTATATGTTTTATCTAGAGACAGGGTCTTGCTGAGTAGCTTAGGGTCTCACTAGTTGCTGAAGTTGGTTTTGAACACATGGTCCTCTTGCCTCAGCCTCCCAAGCTTCTAGGATTACAGGCATGTGCCACCATGCTTGGCTAGTAAATTAACTTGTATATGTGTGTGTGTGGTGCTGGGGATCCAACCCAAGGGTGTTTTACTGCTGATTTTAGCAGAAATGCAAAGGAAATTCAATGGAGAAAGAGTAGTTTCTTCAACAAATGATATTGGAACAATCGGTTATTCACATGCAAAAGAATGAACCTCCGCATATTTACCATATCTCACACAAAATCCAACTTAAAATGAATGATAGACTAAAATATAAACTGTAAAAATATATAACTTCTAGAGTAATACAAGGTGAAAAACTATGTGACCTTGTGTTTGGCAATAAGATTTTAAATATAACACTAAGTCCCCAATTTCTCAAAAAAAATCAATTAATTGGATTTTATGAAAAAATATTTTTAAAAGTTCTCTCTGTGAAAGACTCTGCTAAAATAGTGAAAAGACAAGGTATAGTTTTGTGGAAAATATTTGCAAATAACATATCTGACAAAGAAATTCTAATTATAATATATAATTATTATTATTATTCTAATTATAATATATAATTTATTATATATCATTATAATAAAGCAATCCACTTAAAAATGGGTGAAAGATCTGAACAGACACTCAGACATCTCACCAATGAAGGTATTCATATGGAAAATATGTATAAGAAGCTATGCCCAGTGTCATTTGTCATTGGAGTGATGCAAATTAAAACAGCAAGACTCCTCTCCATACCTATGACGATGGCTAAAGCTCCCCAAAATGACAATAACAAATGTAGACAGATGCAGAGCAACAAGAACTCTCATTCATTGCTGATCTGAGCGAAGTGGAACAAACACTTTGGAAGATGTTTGGTAATTTCTTGCAAAGCAGCTCATCTTATCACCCAGCACTCTCCCTACTGCATACCCAACGGAGTTGAAAACCTGTCTCTATTAAAAAAAAAGAAAAGGGTTTCTAGTCAAAACTTTATCCAAATTTGTCAAAAACAGGAAGCAACAAAGATGCTTTCGACAGGTGAATATAAAAACAATCCATGGTGCATCTATGAACTGGGCTGTTAGAATGGCAGATTTCTTCTTACTGTAGGTTGGTACCTCTTCTCACAAGAAGGATGTGTCTCAGAGAGGGTGAAAAGATCTCTGCATTAATCATATGTTAACAGCATACCCTATGAGAGAAAGTTTTTTTTTTTTTTCTGGAAAAGTAAGGAAGTGAAGAAAGACAGGAGTAGTGGGGAGACCTATGGCTCCACGTGGAATAAAATTCAATGTGAAATCCAAGTTTTTATTTCTACCCATCATCCTCTTCTCCTTGCTTTATTTTTTGCAATAGTTACTTCTAGATTTCTCATAAAAATAAAAAGGAATGAGCTATTAATTTGTTCAACAATATGAATTCATCTTAAATGCATTTTGCTATGTCAAAGAAGGTAAGTCAAAAAGCCTACATACTGAATAACTACATTCTAAAGAATTCTGGAAAAAGATAAGGTTATAGGAACAGCAAACAGGTAAGTGGTTTCTGGGAGTTTAGGGAGGAGGAACATTCATCTAAGGAAGCACAGAGAAATATTTTAGTTGTTGAGGCTGGCCTTGAACCTGGATTGCTCTCTGTCTCAGGCTCCAGAGTTGCTGGGATTATTGAGGTGTACCACCATGCCCAGCTATGGGCTCTTTTTTCAGTGATTAAATGGAATTAGGTAGTGGTGATGGTGGCATAACTTTGTGAGTGTACTAAAAAACTACACTTAAAAAAATAAATACGAAAATAAAATGAGAAACTTTTTAAGATACAGCAAATAGCATTCTACATACATTTCACAGGTTCTATTGTATGTTTAAGATAAATTCCCAGGAAGAATATAGCCAAGTCAAATGGGACATCCTTAAGTTTCAAAGAAATTGTCAAACTGCCCTACTTAAGGGATTTTAAGTATTAATGATTAAAAATTTCACCAGGAATGTAGAAGGGCATCTGCTACCTCCTAGCCTTGCCAAAAATGTGTGTGATCAAATATTTGGATTTTTCCAATCTGATGGGTGACTGTATCTCAGGATAGTTATTTTTTAAGAAAAGAATAATTCCTTGGTGATTTTGATTTTCAAAATGTAAATTATTTGAGATTAAAAAAAATAAGTTCGAAAGAGAAGAAAATGTCATTTTTAAAAGCCACTACCCAGTACCCATCATGATTAAAATCTGATGACTGTCTTTCCCAATATCTCTTTTATGATTTTCTAAAACTTTTTCTATAAATTGAACTCCAACGTATGCACTGTAAAGAATAAAAATTGCCCATTTCGATTTTGACATTTTAACATAAGCCCCTGTAAATGCTATCTAGATTAAGATATAGGATATATAAAGCAACCTAGAAGGTTCCTTTGTTGTTTCTTCCAGTTTAACCACTATTTTTACATCTATAATAATTCATAAGCTTTGTCTTCTATTGACTTCTACATAAATGTCATCCTACAGACTTTGTGCCCTATCATCTTTTTTCATAACTTCTTTTATTTCAATATAACCATTTCAAATATGTTGTTGGAGATATATATTTTCTCATTTTTCTTTTTAAGAGCTTTTATTAGTGCAGGGTAGTTACATATCATAGTGGGGCTCATTTGACATAATCATGCATGCATGGAATATAATTTGCTCCATTTCCCTAGTCTTCCTCTTTCCCTCCCCAGCTCCTGCTCCCTGTTCTCCACTCTACTGGTCTTCTAGTATTCCAGTATTTATTGTTTTTTAGATGGTGCTTTATAGCTATATGTAAAGGTGGGATTCACCATGGAATACTCATATATGTATAGCATAATTTGGTTAATTTCATTCCACAGTTCCTCTCTTTTCCCATCTCTGCTTCCTCACCATCAATCCTATCAATCCCCTCCCCCTGCTCGACTGTTCTCCCTTCTATTTTCATGGAATTCTCTCCTTCCCCCCCCTTATTTTGATCTAACTTCTGCATATGTGGGAAAAATATTCAACCTTTAAATTTCTAGGTCTGGCTTATTTCATTTAGCATGATGTTCTCCAGACCCATCCATTTACCAGAAAATGCCAAAATTTCATTCCTCTTCATGGCTGAGTAATATGTCAACATATCCAAGAGACACATTCATGCTTTTGCTCCTATCATTAGTTCTTTTGTTAAATGATTATTAAATAACCTATTTTTAAAAATCAGTGTCTTGTGGATGTCCATGATGGTGAGATTCACTGTAGTATATTCATATATGTACATAAGAGAGTTAGGTCAGAGCTATTCCACTGATATCCTCTTATCCTGTCCCTTCTCCTTCCCCCTCAATCCCCTTCATCTATTCCACTGATCTTTCTTCTATTTTGATGGAATTCCAGGCTCCCTTCTTCTGCTTTCTCCTCTCTCTCTCCTTATTTTGGATTAACTTCCACATATCAGAGAAAATATTCAACCTTTGACTTTTGAGGATTGGCTTATTTCACTTAGCACGATGTTCTCCAGTTCCATCCACTTACCAGCAAATGCCATGATTTTATTCTTCTTCACATCTGAGTAATACTGCATTGTGTATATAGACCATATTTTTTTTATCCATTCCTCTGCGGAAGAACGCCTAGGTTTGTTCCATAGCTTGGCTATTATGGATTATGAAGCTATACACATTGATGTGGCTGAATCCCTATAGTATGCTGATTTTAGCTGTACTGGATACTTATTGAGGAGCGGGATCGCTGGGTCATATGGTGGTTCCATTTCTAGTGTTTTGAGGAATCACCACTCTGCTTTCCAGAGTCATCAATTTGCTGTCCCATTAGCCATGTATGACTGTGCCTTTTCCCAAATTCCTCACCAACACTTATTATTATTTGTATTCTTGATCATTGCCATTCTTACTGCAGTGAGAAGAAATCTCAATGTAGTTTTGATTTAAATTTCCCTAATTGCTAGAGATGTTGAACATTTTTTTCATATATGTTTGCCATTTATATTTCTTCTTTGGAGAAGTGTCTGTTTCATTCCTTTGCCCATTCATTGAGTTATTTGTGTTATATAATAATTTAGATAAATAGAAAAATTGAATAGTACAGTACAGAGGGCTCCCAGGTGTCTCTCGACCACCTCCCTTTATCGGGCATCTTATAAACTATCCTGCATTCATCACAATTAAAGAACCAAAGCTGGTTCCTGACTACTAACTCTGCGCTTCATTTGAATGCCCCAGTTTCCCTTCTTCCCCTTCCTGTCCAGGCTCCCATCCAGCCTTCCCCACTGTGTTCGGTCATCAGGTCTCCTTGGTTGCTCTGGGCTGTGGCAGCTTGGCTTTAGTGACCTCCATCTGAGTGAAACTGCTCAGATCATGTGGAGAAGATCCCCTAGTTTGGGTTCTCGGCCTAAGTTTCACGTAACCGGGTTTTGGAGGACCATAGAGTGAAGTGCCTTGCCCACTGCATTGTCCCAGGCACCTGAGGTGGCTCTGGCCAGGTGTTGCCACAGTGAAGTTGCCCTTCCCCTTTCCTGACTCCATATTTGGAAGCTAGTTTCTAAACACAGTTCACCCCTCCAGGGTTGAAGGGTAAAGCTCTACCTCTAAAGCAGGGAGGGTTCACATAAATCAGCCTAAGAAACACGGTAATAATCCCGCTGCTGAGCCCTACAAGATCTCGCTGGGCCACCATTCTGATAGAGCAGTTAGGCTCTTCCAATGTGGGACGCACAATGCAGAGTTTTGCAAATTTATTTTTAACCTAGGACCTCCCCCTTCTTGTTCTCTTGGTCCCATTGTACTCTAAAATTGCTTCTCAAACCTCATAATTAACTGGGAAGCTTGTTTTAAAATACCCCTTCTCACTAGACCTCAATCAGTGTCTCCAGGGACAGGATCTGGAACTTGGTGTTTAAAAAGCAGCTTGTCGAGGTGTCTGACCCTTGAGTGGCAGCCCTTGAGAGAAGGCAGCATCTGCTGCGTGAGAGTGAGGACTGCAAAGCTCTGGACCAGCCATCTTTGCTTCATTGATCCAGCAAATATTGACAAGCTTCTGGCATTGGGGTTCAGAAGAGGAGGAGGCACACCGMGTCTCTGACACGGTCACTCATATTCATGAAGGGACAGGTAGGTCATTAATATTTAGAGAAGTGAACCTAAGACAGGGAGGTGGTGGTCAAGGCTCTGAAGAAAAGTGAAGCAAGGAGTGTGTGTGACAGAYGGGTGTGCTGCCCATGCAGGTGGYCAGGAAAGGCCTCCGGGATGATGTGACATTTGAACAGATTCCACAAAGAAGTGAAGACACATGTCATGAGGCTGTCTGTAGAAGAATTGTGCCAAGCAGAAGAAACATCGAGTGCCAAGGCCCTGAGGCATGAGTAGATTTGGGGCCAAAGGGCTTGTTCACTGTCCTGCAGTGGCTGGGCAAAGAAAGAAGCCAGGGCAAGGACACGGGGGGAAGACAACAGAGCAGAGACAGCTGTGGTCAGAAAGGAGCTGCAGTCCCACATGCTCTGAGTGGACTTCCCTGAAACTGACCCTTCATCTGTAAAAGGACTGTGAATGTGGTCAGAATCAAGATGGAGTCACTTGGGTCAACTCTTACAAAAGTTAAATAAAGCTGGGACGTGAGRAAGCAAGGTTCCCTAGGCATGATTGCCTGGTAGTCATTATCACCACACTCTGCCAGAACTGCAAGCTTGCCCAGAGACACTGCCATCTTATACAAAAAAAAAGTACTTCTCATGGACATTTGTCCAGGAAATCTGTTCAACTTCAGACTAACGTCACCATTACTACTAGCCATTGTGGTCAAAGATTATTATTTCAAAATATCGACTGTTATCCTCTTCATTTTTGCCTTTAAAAACCTCCCCGGCCTCCACCTATTTGAATATGTTCAGTTGATGATGGCACAAGTGTTCCCATCGAAACCCTGCCAGTCCTGATGCATTGTTATTCTTTGGAGAATCTCTTACTGATTATTCTTTTTTAGATCAACATAATTTAGGACAAAAAATTACAATTGGGAAAAAAGGAGTGCCCTGCTGGGGACTTCAAGTGCTCTTGAATTCTGGGAAGGGACACTTGGACTATCTGTAGCAGGAGTCGCTGAGACTTTACACAAAGGATAGACATGGTAGAATCCAATTTTAAGTGAGACACACTGGCTTTTGTGTGCTTTGCTAGAGGATGAGAGGAGGGAGGGAAGAGATAAAAAAGACACCATGATAGATACACGAGCAGATCTTAACCACAGAGCTGCCTAAAAATGCTCTGAGGAATAAGGCAAGGGAATCATCAGTTACACTCCATTAATTATGAAGTACTGCTGCATGAAAATAAAATCTGAATTACCTTGCACATAGAGAAATGATGAAGCATGCTGTAAGCAGCACCGCCTGAAAGGAGACACCCGGAAACACACTGGTTTCTAATAGGAAGAACACAAATTAGTGGATCAGAAATCAGGGCTGATTAAATAATCTTAGAGCAATAAAAAAATAATACTAAACCTTCTCTACACACACACACACACACACACACACACATCAAACGCATGTCATCTTAAGCAATGCTAGGGTTTGGACTTGAGATGTCCCCGTTAAAGCTCTGTGTCAAAGCAGGAATGTTCAGAGGTGGGGCATGGATGGAGGAGGTGGGTCACTGAGGGCCTGTCCCTGGTGCACACACCCACTCTTGCTCTCTGTGCTTTCTGGCCACCATAAATGGGACAGCATTCCTCTACCCTACCCTCCTCTCATGATGTTCTGCCTCATTTGGGACCCAGAACAACGGAATCTGTGGACCCTGGCCTGAACACTGGAAACCATGAACCAAAATAAACTTGTTCTCCTTTCAGTTGTTCTTGTTGGGTATTTTGGTTCCAGTGGTGAGAAGCTGACTAACACAAGCAACTTGTCATAAGTAATGATATAAAATCACCTAAATAAATACAGGGCCATTCATTAGACAATTAGGCAAATTATCAGTTTTGTTTATCACTATAAAAGACTATGTTACACAGTTCAGGGTTGCCTGTTGCTTTAATGTCAGGCAAAGGCTTTGTGGAGTCTATGCTAATGTCAGAATGATGACGACAGTGATGGTACAAACAATCATAATGCCTAAAATCAGTAGAGGGCATTTTAATTCACAAACAGCTGTCACACATCAGTTCGTTTAGTCAGCACAACAACTAGGTGAGGTGGGTAACATTATCTTAGCTCGGCAAACAAGAAGACCAAACTGAGAGAAATGACAAATGATCCAAGGTCACACAGCGATGAGACGCCAGAGCCAAGGCGTAGAAACCACATCTAGACAGAACATAATGTTTTGTCTGAAGTGGGGCAGGGAAAGACAATTGCAACTTTGCATACTGGCAGTCTCTAAAGACCAGAACAGAGAACATACATTATGAAAGAGTTTGTCCTTGCAAAACTCTCCACAATCCGCAGAATATCTCAGTGCTGTTGAGCCACAGTGGAAATGGCTGCAGATCCTCCAGCATTTCTAAGCACGAGAGTCCAGTCCATCATGAACCTCAGTGGTACCCTAATTACCTAAAGAGAACTGGAGCTGGCTTAAAGATTACTACAGAAAACTTGAAGGAATCTATAAACAGACCTCAACTTATTTTTTTGCCAAATGCTTCCAAAGCTCAGTTTTACAACAGTTGTTTGAAACTTGGAATGACTTTATGAATGTATTTATTTTTGCTATTTATGCTATGAATGAGGATTGAATCAGCTACAAAAATTCCTTAGCCCATCATGTGGGTGGAATACTGAAAACTGGCAATTGAAAACGTAGCAATAGCAAATTATTTGCTGAAAATATACGGTATTGATGTATACTGTGAATTAAATAAGTTATAGTGGGTTCAATTGAACACTCCACCATCTTTCTAAAGTGGGTTTCTCTTCTTTGCCTCCCCCGACTTCATGTGGAATTTGGAAAACATTTCCTGAGAGAAACAAATCCAACTTGACAACCTGCAAATCTCTCTAGACTTAGGCACTGAAGGATGAATGGGTGTAAATATGAGTTCCACAAAGAGAGGGGTTGTGTCACTTTGAGCCAGTTTTCAGGCCCTTTCCTTTAGCAGCCATTTGCTTCGTACCTATTTTGGTGAAGCGGGTCTAACCCCTTGGGCAAGCCTGCCTCCKGCCTCCACAGGGCCCTGGACTTCCCTCCCCTGATTCCGTCACCTTCCTTCCCGTCTCCCTTACCATTCTCTTCACACTGAATTAAAGTTTCTGTTCTACACTCTGTTTCTCCCACAAGGCTCCACGCTGCACTTCCTAATTGAGGAGACAGCACCTGCGGTTTACTTGAGGAATCCCTCTCCCGCTCTCTCCTGGTGCCCAGTTTAGGTGGGCTGGTGGACTTCTTTGATTTCCCTCCCAGCATTTAAACCCTTCCAAGGTTTTGGAGCTTCACAAATTTATCTACAAAATGACCAGTTTTTCCATGTAAGTGAAACCTTTCAAATACCCATAAAACTTAATTCTTGGCCTCCMGTCATAACTCCACTGAACTGGAAATTAGAAAAGTCAAGGTACAAATCAACCAGGAAAACGATGGCAAGATGGCCTTTAAAAAGCCACACCCACAGAAAAGAAGAGACAACAAGAGACGGAGATGGACAGACTCCTCCACCCTATGCCTGGGAATTTTCATTAACGTAAACCCATAGATTCCATGACTGAGCAGTCCACTTTGAGTCGAGACTTCAGAATCAAAAGCTTTGACTGACAGAGATGAGGCTGTACACACCTGTACCCCCAGCACCTGGAATATCACCTGGCAGAGAAGACACACTCAGAACCTACATTTGAAGGACTGCAGAAAGATGGAGACCTTGTCCCCTCCAGGCTCCAGAGCTCAACGAGGAGGAGGGAAACGCGTGTTTGACTAGAGGTGTGCATACTGGGTGCTAGGGAAGTACAGGGCCACCTCCAGTGGCCAGAGGGGCAAAGAAGTCCCCACAGGGGGGATCCCCTTTAATGGACCATGAGGAAGAGCAGGGGTGCTCCAGGTACAGCAGGTGGCACTGACAATTCAGACAGCAGAGAACAGCCAATTTCCTTGCAAAACTTTGCCAACAGTACCAAGGTTGACTTGGCCTTGCTGAGTCAGTACTCTTCTCTGTAGTATGGAGAGGGAACACTTTTAAATGGTCCACCACAGTCACAGAGCACAAGGAATTTGTGGAGGACTGTGACCTAGTGCCCATCCTGAAGGAGTGCCCAGTCCAAAGATGGGGGTGCTTCCCATGCAGAGGTAAGCAGGCGACAGTAGTGCAGGGAGTGGGCACGAGACAGAGAATCCCTGGGAGCCTGAGGAGCCCAGAGAAGGGAGCTTGCTGGAGGAGGTGGCTACTGAGCCTCGTGAGGCACTGATAACTTGGCCACTGTCTGGACAGTAAAGTCACCTTCTCTGTCAACCCAACACCTGGAAAGGGAGCTCACAAAACCCTTCAACACTTCTCTAATGGCTGCACCTGGGTGCAGGGAACCTTGGCCTTTGTAGGGGAAGGGATGACCCATGAGGTTCATATTCATGATTTTGTAAAGGCAAATCAGAAGACATGTTTCCATTTCATCTCACCTTCGCATAATGGTAACTTCACATTCATTGAGCATTTAGTAGACATGGCCCAAATTGATTTACATTTAGTCCTTACGAGATAAGAACTGGGATGATCTGTACATGCCCATGAAACCATTGCACTTTAGAGTTTGGTAAGCACTCAGTTTTCTTCCTTGGTGGTTCACAGAGTTACTACAGCTAACACATGGGGAACAGGGCTTTGCCTCTCGGTCAACTGGCAACAGGGCCAGCCCAATAGCAGAGCCTGATTCCAGCAAACTAGAGAAGAGGGGCTTGATTGCTTGCTGGACTTATTCCACACTCACTTTGACAGGAAATGCCAATAACTTTGGATATTTTTCCTTTTCTTACTAGAGGCATCCTGTAAAAGGATACTCTTTTCCTGCTGGGCACCATGGCACATGCTTCTAATCCCAGAGACTCGGGCGACTGATACAGGTGGATCACAATTGGAAAGTCAGGCTCAGCGACTTAGTGAGGGCCTAAGCAACTTAATGAGACCCTGTCTCAAAATAAAAAATAAAAATAACGGGCTCGAGTAGTGGTTCAGTGGCTAAGCACCCCTGGGTTCAATCCCCGGTACAAAAAAAAAATGTTCTTTTGCTCATTTTCTTGTTTTTCTTCTGGTGTGTATCAAATATACTGCTATGTATAAAGAGTAAAACAGCAAGGACCTGTGTTCCTTCTCCTGTACTCTGTTAGAGCCTAACATTATATCATACATCTTCAGAGTTTTTGAAAAAAATAAAACAATGCACATTCAGTGCATCTGATGACTCTAAGATGATACCAAAGGCAATGACCTGCCTTATGAACACATCTCAAGGACACTGGCCAAGGTCTGGGTCCACCTCTCTTTGAACAGGTAGAAGCCAGTACCTAAGAGCATGTCAGCCATCCTCTGCGAATTCAGGCCCTGAAAGGAAGAATCCTTTGGGAATAGCAATACATCAATCAATCAATAAATAAAAACACTCACGTGGAGGATCCACAATGTTCTCTTGCAAACCTCCAGGGGCATTCCACAGGGACTGAAGGGTGTCCTGGGAGCTTCCTCTGGGAGGCTGAGATGTGATTTGGCTGGAAGTGGAGGCTGTCACAGATGCTGCCTTTGGCTTCTCCAGGTTGTCAATCAGAGAAGAACAGTTGAAATCCCCTTCTGAAAAAGCAGATGGGTTCAGTGTGTATGTGCATGTGTGTGTTCAGTGACTGCTTTATGCATGCTTCATACCAATAGGAACCCGGATGCACTGCCAGAGTAGAACGGCTTTCTAATTGGTCCCCCTCTTGAAGCTGCAAAGAAGTAGCTCAGTGCACATACAAGCAAGGACAGAGGCYTAAAGGTTTGGCAAAGGAAGCAGATTGCAATGGGGTTAGAACAAAGTGACYCAGGGGAGCCAGCCGAAGACGAAGCTGGAGCCAGACTGAGGACTGATCACCAAAGGCACTAACCTCTCAGCTGAGCTTCAGGAACTCCTGCTGCAAGCAGTGGGATGATCCCAAG